AATTCTATATCCTTTTAAGTACTGCAACCCTGAATTTTTCAAAATTTTTCATTCTTCAGGTTCGCAGAAATTATATAATTCAGTATTATTTCTAATATTAATTCCTGTTTCTAAATTATTATTATTATTATTACAAATAATATTACTATTATACAATAAACAAATAAACTTTTTTAAATTTGATCAACGTACATACATTGCTTTCGTATTAATATTCATATTTTTCTATATATTACTAACAACACATCAACAACTATACATATACTATATATCGTACACAGTCCAGCGTGAAACGCGAAACGGGAAACGAAAAATCGATACTCACTCCCCGCCGGACGAAATTCAACTGAACTCCGAGCCTCCGACTCCGACGAGCCGAGCCGAGCGGTTGCGTGCTTATCCTCATGCTGTTGGCTCATTGTTACAGCGAATTTAATGCGGGGTTGACAGGAGGTGCACTACTGTGGTGTGGCAACTGGATATGGTAGACGTGGGGATAGGGCGAATCTACCCAATCTGGCGAATGAAGAAGGAGAAATAAAAAGCTTGGGTACACTGATTGTAAGCCAACTTCGGCTCCTCTTAATGGAGTATTCACACTTACCGTAACGTAAGAAGGCTCTTACGTATCTTCCGGCGAAATTTTGTTCTCGAAAGACGCCTCTGCCGTAAGATACAGTGTCGTAGTAGAAAGTTGAAGGTATAGGGAAAGCCATGTAAAAGCATGGGGTCCTCAGAACATCTTCCTCAGACGAGTGCGAAAGTATCGGTCTATCGTCCACCACCCGCTGTGCAGCTTTAAGTAGCTGCTAGACCTTTTTTATTGCCATAAGTTTCAGGTCAATTCATACATTTCTCTTCGTAAACCACGATCTTTCCTCACCGTAAGCACCGTAAAATATCAAATACAACAATACATAGTGTTGTTCAACAATTTTATTTGATAAAAAACTACTACATACAATTATTGCTTTATAGTACTTAATGTTTGGTACATTATTGTATGTATGTAAAACAATGTGAATATGTAATCCGCATTAGGATGGTATATAGCATTTTCAGTTGTTAAACACTTTTATCGATTACAGAAAATAGGTAAGTATATAGAAATTCATACGTTCGCGGGATTAATACATGTAATAGTTACTTATCAAATATAATTGTTAAATATCAGTATCTATTGTTGTATCTGATATTTTATGGAGATTTTTAAGACAGGTATAGGCAGTAGAGAGTGAAGCAATGGGACGTGAATGAAGCCCGGGAATTCAATATGGTCGCCCATATGGGGAACTCTCGCGCTTGTGCAGATCATTGAATTCTATTTCATTGGAGTGCGGAGTCTATGGTGCGAATTCCTGTGAAGAGAAGAAGAGGCGGGAGAGGATCGAATGAGATGGAAAGCTGTGCGGTGAATATCATAGACCTGATCATGTAACACTGTGGTGGAAACATAGAGATATTATAGATAGAGTACAGATCCCATATTCTCGCCTGTAAGTGGAATTGATACGCTGTTAGAAAGAAAACGAAGTAGAAATTTACTACCTCTCTTTGTTTAACAGCAGCAGAGCGCATGCTCTGCATGCATACAGCGTACGTATTCGAACATTTCGAACCCATATACACCTATATGAGTACTGCGCATGCGTCGGTAGAGAGAAAGTCATTCTCGTGTTCTTCTCTCTTTCTATTTGCGACTCACGTTTGCGGTTGGCTTCTGTACTCTATGTATACTATCTCTATGGGTGGAAAAGGGTAAAGGGTGCCGAAATACTATGTGAAATACGTATGAGAGGCGCAGACTATCGGCACATGTGTTTCCTTCCATGCAGCAAGCTGCTGGTAAAATTGTAGTGCACCCTACAGTTGAAAATACGTTTATAGATAGATATGTGCATGTGCATGCTGATGTTAGTCGTTTTTGCGTGTAACTTGTCTTTAACTCTCTGTTCTCATGACAAGCGCGGCAATGTCTGACGTCCAACGCAGTTGCCGCTCTCCTGAGCACACGTTATATGAGCACTCTGATTGTTTTATTAATAATTCAACAACCACTCTTTGGACAACATTTTGACAAAGGAAAATATTGTTATAAATCACCTCAGCCTCAGCTCCTCCCCATTTCCGGGCTTAACACTAGTTCTGGGACATGCTGTATAAGTCTACATATAGAGCAGAAGTACGGAACGTGCGGCCTCCTTGTACGGTTTCAAATGTTATTTGTATTTTAATATATTCAATTACAAGCAAGAAACAAGTGCAAATATCCCACTAATTTAAATGTTCCATAGGATTTTAAAATTATTTTATTGCTATATTAGTTACTTATATCTTAATATTATTAATCTTTC